TTCCACCCATAATAGTCCAAACTTAAAATACCAGAAGCCAAGCAACTCAAAGAAGTAATAATTAACTATGAAAACACTTAGGAAATCACTTCAATATAATGAATTGGATAAAACATTTATATGACATGTCCATGCACAAGAACAGGATAAAAAACCTCATTGACTAAGTGATGCTTGAAATTATTTGCCTATAGAATGGTGTAAAATACACTTCTAACCCATCTATGAATCCACAACAAATTGCTTTGACAGTGCTAGGAAGAAAGATTGTGTTGACATTTGGCTTTTACTGTCACTGTAACCTTCATGCAAAATCTGAGAGTCCCGAGACCTCCTGTTCTGCTGCAAAGCTGTCAGTGGCTGTGTGTGGGCACTGGAGGAACCCTGATGTTGGCAGAGTCGGTCCCAAGCACAAGGACTTGAAATCCAGCATAGATTGCAAGTGTGTTAAGGTTTCAACATCACTTTACAACACCCTGGTAAATCACATCTTTGCATGCAATCTCTTTTATCAGCTACATCTGACGACTCCTGCACTGGGATAAACCTTTTTTGCCTCTTGCATTAACTGATACTCAGTAGCACGTATGGAAGCGACTGACAGGTCTGTCCTTGCTTGTCAGATCCTGGGAACAAGAAGCACATGGTCAGACTGCTGAGCTACCTGCCAGGAACGCCGGTAGCCAAAATTGCCACCAATGCCCAGCTCCTGTATGAGGTCGGTAAACTGGCTGCCAGCCTGGACAAAGCGCTCACAGAGGTGAGTTCCCATCTGCAGCCTCAGACTCATTTCTTCCTGAATGTCCCCTCAGCGTTTGTTCTTGTGCTCTGCCTGCTCTCCCGGGCTGCCAAATGCAGGCTGGGGAATGCAGGTATCACTGACTCTTCCCTCAGTGTCAGCTCCAAGCTGCTAAAGCCTCTCCCCACTACAGGATGAGGTATTGGTGATGCTCTTGCAGTGCATTCTTGTACCACCTACTGGGAGACAAGGATTTCCTTTTGCTTACACCAAGCTCACCTGCTTAGTGTCTCAAACCTGGCAAATAAGGAGAGTGAACTCGAGGGCACTCACATGAGAAGCATGCCAAGCTTGTTTTAAAGGGTTTTTGTGTAGTGCACAGCTGGCTGATCCATTACTTCAAATTCCTTTTGACTTGGTGCCTTTCTCCTGGTCATTAGCCCTGTGACCATTTAACATTGGTAGCAGCTGGTTCCTTCCCTACAGTGCCAGCTGTGCCAACAAACAGAGGTCTCTGACACTTCTCATTTGCACTGCTACCAGTCAGTCTTAATGCAAAATAAGTTGTTCCTTTACTCTGTAATTATACAGGATAATAAAGGTGATAAATCAGCCAGTAATTAAGTTTGATACATAAAAGAGCTCTTGCATTATTTATTTCCTTTCATTAACCTTTCCTTCTCATGTTCTGCCTGCTAGCTTCAGACAATTATGAAATGTGAATTGCCAGCTTTACTAACTACATTCTTAAATTACAAAACCATTTTTCAATTGGGAAAGATAACTTACAGTTGCCTTCTGGCACACTGGTCACACTCTTATAATGCGATTAAAACAATTTATATAGGCGAGCTGGTCTCAAAATAAGCCTGTGACTGATCCTGCCAAGGAGGAAGTACTTGATGAGAAAGCAAATTCTGAGGGGAAAAGGCTCTTTATGCCCTTAACATATGGATTATCATCTACCCAGGCTTGTCATTTAAAAGAAAGCAAATTACAATAATTCCTGTCAAAACTTCAAAATGTTGTTGGCACTAAAAATAATACCTGAGGTATTAAGTTTCCTGACTACAGACCAGAAAGTACAACCTGTCTTTTTTACCCAGTTAATTTACTTTATCCCCTTGATAGCAAAGCAACATGCCCTGCTTTGTTTTGTGCCCCAGACTGTACTGCACCCCCTTCTCTGTTTGGCTCAGATGTGCCTCGCAGCCCCTAAGTGGAAATGAGTTTATTGCTGACCTTCTAAGGCTCATGACTTACCACCCTTACCAGCAGGTGGCTTCATTCCTCCCCGTGTGTGGCTTTCCACAGCATTAGGGGTCCTGTATTGTGGTTTTGGTTTAGGCTCGATGATGTTCCTTGTTCACACCCGGGCTGTTTTGACTATCATTTAGTGATCGTTAAGAGCCTTAATTACAAGCATAGTTTTTTGGTTTCGGTTTTTTTTAAGAAGCAGCCAGCTGCTCTCATGGGAAGTCTTTTTATTTGCCCTATGCACTGGTCAAATCTGGCCCACAGGCCACCCTAATAAGCATTTGAGGAGTGCAGGTGTGGGGTGTGCAGTGGGAGAGATGCTTTTCCAAACCACCTTTTCCATTGGCTGGTAAGAGAGAGGTTAAGGACCTTGTTTGTTTAAAATAGCGAGGCCTGGTTGTACAGAGACAAATTCCCCTAAGAATGAAGTCATGGTCAGTGTCTCCATGAAGGACTCTGTCCCCAGGGGTTTTCACACACCAGCTGTTCCTAAGGCTTGTCCGCTGAAGCTGCCACCTTTGAAAGCAGGGAGTGTGGCTGTTCCCAGCATGCTGGCAGGTTTTGTGTCTCTTCTGCTCTGACATCTTTCTGCAGTGCCAGCTGTGCAGGCTGGGCTCTGCCAGCCTGGGGCTCTGCCCTGGGCTCTGCCAGCCTGGGGCTCTGCCAGCCTGGGGCTCTGCCTTGGCAAGGCCTCAAAGTCCCTGCATCCCGTCACGCTATGGACAGTCAACAGCAACTTCAGATTATTTGAGTGACAAATGACTTAATATAATCTTTGTACCTAAACCATGGGAAAAAAACAACATTCAGGCTGTGTGTAGATACTGAGATGCTTGCCTTAATCATTCTTCAGGTTATTCTTTTACTTGATGCAAAGCAATAGTGCAAGTAATGGTGCTTTTCAGTGAGTCTCATTAGAAACCTGTTAATAGGGGCTTTGAATCAAGCCCTTTAATCACAAACCCAGCATTTCTACTTATGGCCTGTTTTATTGTGTGCTTTTTCCAAAGAAATTCCATCATCCATCAGTAAAAAGTCTGCATCGAGGTCAGTTCATTTGGAACCTGGCAAATGTTCCTCTTCTAGAGCAGTACATTTATGCCTTGGGCCAGAACAAATACCGTGCAGTTGTGGAACAAGTTATTGAGCAGTTTAAAGGGAAAGTGATACCCAAGCTAAGCAGTTTTCGAGCCTGTGAGTATTTTGTTCTCATTTTAATTATGTTGAAATGAGACACAGAAAATTCTTTCAGGAGTTTGGGTCTGTGTAGAAGGCAAAAAAAAAAAAGGCAAAAAAGTAAGTCTCCTTTCTCCCCCGCCTAGACATGGGCAAACATTGTGCTGAATGGACACAGCATCTGTAAGCCAGGAGGAATGTGCTGTCCAGGGTCAGGGTCAGTTCCTTTCTGCTGAGTTTGCTTTCAGTTAAGGTGATGATTTTCTGCTGTTGTATCAGCTTACTGAGTATATATGAGTGCACCACTTCCTTTCATAAAGGCCTAGATAAGTACTTAATCATACTTTTGGAATTCTGCTCACATTGATCTCGATGACAATGTGACAATTTTGTAGTTGGAAACTGCTACTGTGTATTTGGAAAACATGTAGCATATCACAGGTGGTATCAGACCAGTCAGATCTGGAAACACTCCCTCCATCCACTGCTGTCAGTGCTGGGGAGGTTCTGGACAGCTGTAAAGGTGTGAAAGGCACCTCTTGATGCTGCAGGGGACTCTTGTGGTTTTGTAGTTGAGTGTTAGTTTGAGCCTCTATGCATCTTCTTAAAGCTCTTCCACTGAGAAATACGGGGGGAGGAGAAGTTAAATTCTGCTGCTTATTAAGTACTGTTTCTCCTGTGCTTAGGTATCAATCATGGAGATCTTAATGACCACAACATCCTAGTAGACTGCAGTTCTGCTTCCCTGGAGAACCCCCAGTACAGAGTGTCGGGCATCCTGGACTTCAGCGACATGAGCTACGGGTATTACGTGTTTGAGGTCGCCATAGCCATCATGTACATGATGATCGAGAGCCCAGACCCTCTGGGCGTTGGGGGGCATGTTCTGGCGGGGTTTGAGAGCGTGGTGCCGCTCACGGCTGAGGAGAGAGGGGCCCTTTTCCTCCTGGTGAGCGGCAGGTTCGCGCAGTCGCTCGTCATCGCCGCCCACACGGCTCTGCTGTACCCGGAGAACGAGGAGTACCTCATGATCACGGCCAAAACCGGCTGGAAACACTTAATGACAATGTTTGAGATGGGCCAGGAAGCGGTGGAGAAGAAATGGTTTGAGACTGCCCAGGCATACACACACTGCACACCTGCCCCGTCGGTCGGTGGCTGTTGAGGTGTCACTGGCAGTGACACTGGACCAAATAAAGGCAATAAAGTCGGCACTGCCTGGACTGGACGGGACTTGTTTGCAGGCAGGGGTGGGAACTGGGCTTGGTCTGCCTTCCCCAGGGGCTCTGGCCATTTCTTGCCCTCACAGCAGAGTGTGCCCGTTACTGACCCTCAGGGCACAGCTGTGGCTGTTATTGGCAGGAGTGTGGCTATCACTGACTGTCGCGGGGGGGGGGGGGGGTGGGGGTGTGGCCGTTCCTGCCCTCAGGGCACAGGTGTGGCCGTTCCTGCCTTCAGGGCACAGGTATGGCCGTTCCTGACCGTCAGGGCAGGGTTGTGGCCGTTCCTGACCCTCAGGGCACAGGTGTGGCCGTTCCTGACCGTCAGGGCGGGGTTGTGGCCGTTCCTGACCCTCAGGGCACAGGTATGGCCGTTCCTGACCGTCAGGGCGGGGTTGTGGCCGTTCCTGCCCTCAGGGCCACTCCCGCCCCGTCCCGCCGGCCCCGCCCCGCGCACGGCAGGGAAGGGCACAGGCCCCGCCCCGGCCCGGCGGGCGGCACCGCGCAGGCGCGGCGGCCATTTCCGAGGCGGCGGTGAAGGCTCGGGCGCGGCCGCAGCGCCCGGTTCGTGCCGCGGGACGGGACCCGCCGCCCCCGCCCGGCCCAGCGGCTCCTCTCCGGCCCGCCGTGAGTGAGGGCGGGCGGCGGGCGGGCTGGGGGGTGCGGGGCGCGGCCCTGCGCCGCGCGGGGGGCGGTGAGGCCCTGGCGTTCCGCCGCGCTGAGGATGACTGTGCAGTGCGGGCGGGCGGCAGCGCCCTCTGGGGCCGGGCCGGGGGCGCTCGGTGGCGGTTCACGTGTCCCGTGTTCCCCCGCAGGCCCGGTGCCGGTTTACGTCCCTGTGTTCTCCCGCAGGCCCGGTGCCGGTTCCTGTGCCCGTTCCCGCTTCACATCCCTGTGTTCCCTCGTAGGCCCGCTGCCCGCGGCGCGTCCCCGGCACGATGGTGAGTGACCCCCTCCCCCGGGGCTCTGCGGGGCGCGGTGCTGCCGAGTCACGGCCCGGGCGGTCAGACCGGCCCCAGCTCCCCGGCTGGTTGGGTCTGTTCTGTCACACGGGGACTTGGAGGGTTGGTGACGAGGGACTGACGGTGCTCACTGAGCTATTGCTTTTTACAGTCTCGAAGATATGACTCCAGAACTACCATATTTTCTCCTGAAGGTATTTTTTAACTCCACACTTTCAAGTAAACTCTGACTGCTCTATTCATCTTCTCACTTGCATGAAGGTTGGTTGTTTATAGCATGTTTCCATCTGTGTACGAGTAGAGAAATCATATTTACCCAATAGAAGTAGTACCCAGTTCTGTAAGGACACCAAAGGTCCGAAGTGGACATTTTCAAATTCATTCTTACTGAAGCAATAATAAACCCTTTTCCCATTAGTGAGTAATATCACCTGCCACGTTTTTGAAATAACTATTTATCTTTTATTTGATATGGGTGGATTTTGTCACTGTCCCCTATGACTAGACAATATCCTGCTGGTGCAGGATATTGATAGATAACCTCTCCTTCTTATTCTTACACATGCTGAAACAAGTGTTTGCACACCATATTTTCCTGTTTCTTAGATGGAGGAACTCAAAAAGTTCATTATCAGATATTTTCTTTGATTATTGAAAATCCATTTTGGCTCATTTTGCTGCAGTAGAGACTCCTCTAATTTTTTTTTTTTTTATTTTTTTCAAGAGAGGGTATTTTCCCCATTTTTGGATTTTGCTTCTCTGATTCCTTCCTCCTGTTCAACCTGTTAATTTACTATCAACTGGTAACAGACTGGAGAAGTAAGAGCAGGTTGTATAATGAGCATCTGCCGGATTCTTGCAAGTTCAAGTCACCGTGTGAACTTGGTGGTTTTCGGTGTTGTTTTTTGACATTCCGAACTGAAACCCTCTCCCAGGTCGCCTGTACCAGGTGGAATATGCCATGGAAGCCATTGGGCACGCGGGCACTTGCCTGGGAATTCTGGCAAACGATGGAGTCCTGCTGGCAGCAGAGAGACGCAACATCCACAAGCTGCTCGATGAAGTGTTTTTCTCAGAGAAAATATACAAACTTAATGAGTAAGTTGAAATGATGATCAAACGTCCAGTGATGTTATTAGTAACAAGACACTGACTAGCACATAAGCTGCTTTTATTTAATTTGAAGTGTTTACAATCTTTTTGTTTGGTGTTTTAGACAAGTATGACTGTTCTGTCGTTGCTCACTTTAGTAGTTCTCCTTCTAAAGCAGAAATATTGCTGGGTTTGGGTTTTTTTTTATCTCTAGGAGAATTTTCCAGGTGGAATAGCCTGTTTGTTGTGCTGTGCCATACAAGGTAATGGTATTGCAGCAGTTCAGAAAATTGGGAATTCTGTTTTACAAAGTACCATTGGGGGGCAGAATGAAGAATGCACACAAGAACTACCACGCTACTTCAGCTCAGTATCCTCCTCTGAGTCTTTGTTTTTCTTTGGTGACTCAAAGAGAACAAGATTATTGGATGTCTTAGGCTTCTTTGCCACAATTGTAGCAGAAACGATACATCTCCCAATTACAACTTCCATTTTAGTTCTCTGGAAATTAAATTTGGGATGTCACAGCAAAGATTATTACAGATTACGCTTTCTTGCCTGTAAGGGAGGTAGAGCTTCATCCTTGCTGGAAGGTGCACATGAAACACAAATAGTTTTTCATCCTGTCAGCCTCCCATTCCGTGTGGATCGTGAAGGCAGTCAGAACAGTAGGAAGCACTGGATTTTAGAGGAGGCAGTGTAACAGTGCACTGGAGCAGTCCCTAGAACAGCCCTTCCATCTTCTGGGAAATTCCTAATTTCACAAATCCTTCTTGGGTAATAAAAGCTTTGTAGCAACATCAGGTTGGGCTAAAGAGCTCTTAATTTAAGAGCTAACAAAACAATCGAGGATGTGAAGTGCTTGGTTTTGTCAGGGTCATATCCAGAGCACTGAGTTTCAGTGACACAGATACCATGTGTCAGTGAGCAGCTGCCACTGGAGGCCTGTCACACCCGTGTGGTTCCACGTCAGGGGCCTCCTGAGGGGCACCTGCATGTACCTGATGGCTCCTGTAAAGCCACCTGGCCCTTGACCATCTTTGGCACGACCCTCTTCTCAGAACTCTCTGTGTAACTAACGTGCTGACTCACTCACATTCGCTGTCCAGCTCTGCTCTCAGGAAATGGTTACTAAGATTTTCGGTGTACCCCAAAGGCAGGAGCTGATGAACCTGTTTTATGTGGCAGCTACGTAGTTTCAATCAGAAAAGCCTTGACAGAAGGTGTTGTGCTTAGAGCCCTGTGTGAAGATGTTGGCTGGAGCTGGATGGGAATTCAGTCTGTGCTTCCATTGCAGGGACATGGCTTGCAGCGTTGCAGGAATTACTTCAGATGCCAATGTTCTCACCAACGAGCTGCGGCTGATTGCTCAGAGGTGGGTCTGCTGGGAGTTAACATGCTTTTACTTGCCTGCCCTGTCCCATTCAGTTCCCTGCACGTTAAATCAAAAGGAACGTGCCTTTAGCAGATCAGTAGATTGGAATAGAACAGCTCGATCAAAGAGGCTCCAACTTGGGAACTTGTTTCCTCTTAAATGTTGTACAGGATGCTGTTAGCAAAACAAGTTTTGAAAACCGTTTTTTCTCCTCTTTGATATCAGGTATTTGTTACAATATCAAGAGCCCATTCCTTGTGAGCAACTAGTAACAGCACTGTGTGATATCAAGCAGGCCTACACACAGTTTGGAGGTAACGAAGTGTGATGAGTCATTGTGTTATTAAATGTCTAAGGAACAATTCTCTGACATAATATGAAGGATCTAAATCTCTGGACAGTTCTACTGAATTCTTCTCTTAACAAGTTATACTGAGAAAAACAATAGCCTAATTTAAGAGGGGAATGGGTAGTCATGGTTACTGCTTTGCTGCTGAAGGTGCTACTTTTTATTGATTGGGAAATGGATGGCTCAGATGCCAGGCCATTGCACAGAATGCTTTGAGTGCTCTTGTATTTAATCAATGCCTTCAAAAGAGCAGTAGAGAATTGTTTGATAGGCAGCTTTTCAATGTTTGGGGCCCACCCAAAATGTAACACTTCCAAAAATACTATTTCTGTGGCTCGAGCAACGAGGTTGTCTTGTTCCTTAGTTATGTGAACATTAGGATGTATTCTCTGTTTTACATATATGTAGTGTGAAAGAATTACCTTTTTGTGTACTTGGCTTTTGACACTGTTAAGTTAAACACTTTAACAGCTAAGCTACATACTTTAAATATTCAATTTTGATTTAAAGTCCTGAGATGATAAATTACAATTTGTGGAGACAGAAATGAGCTGCTCTTAGGGTTAAATGGAATAAACCTCTGCTGCCCCCCACCCCACGACTTAGAAAGAAATGCTGGCATGCTTATCTCAAGCCACAGAAGTGCAGAACTGTCTGTTAAATCCCAGTTCACAGGAGTAGATTTGGAAAAAGAAATCAAAGAAAATAATTGTCGCTCATGACCAATCTTGTTACTAAATTTAGATTGCTAATAGCCTTCTTTCCAACAGGAAAACGTCCTTTTGGTGTGTCGTTGCTCTATATTGGCTGGGATAAGCATTATGGATTTCAGCTGTATCAAAGTGATCCTAGTGGAAATTATGGAGGCTGGAAAGCTACGTGCATTGGGAATAACAGCGCTGTAAGTTCTGGGGTTTTTCTTCTCAAAAAACAAGGAAAAAGGTGTAAATTGCACTGTACTAATTAAACTGAGTTGTTGATTACTAGTGCAGAAGAGATTTAGTGGTAATTTTAGCAATGCTGCTCTTACTCATGTATTGATACTATCTGCCAAAAAGCCCAGCAGTTTGGTTGATTGCCCGAAGATACCTTTTTAATTTCTGTCAAATTTACAGGCAGCTGTGTCAATGCTAAAGCAGGACTACAAAGAAGGAGAAATGACCTTAAAGACTGCACTGGCATTGGCCATCAAGGTCCTGAACAAAACCATGGATGTTAGCAAGCTCTCTGCAGAGAAAGGTGAGCTCCTGCAGTGACACCGGGCACATGCTCTAGATGTGGGTTGTTGGCCCTTTTGTCATGCAAGTGTAGGGGTGACACAGCCGTGTCTGGGAGGAGAGTCTCTGCAGAGGTGGTGCCCTGTGCTCTCCTGTGCTCTGCCTGCAGTCAGGCTGCTGGCAGGGGGGGGACAGGAGCCTTCTGCTCCCCTGTCACTGGTGATCCCAAAGCTGGTGCTGATCCCTGTGCTGATCCTGTGCCCGCAGGACAGAATGTAACGCGCTGTCTGTTCCATGTGTTTCAGTTGAAATTGCAACACTGACAAGAGAGAACGGAAAGACAGTGATAAGGGTTCTGAAGCAAAAGGAGGTGGAGCAGTTGATTAAACAACATGAGGAGGAGGAAGCAAAAGCTGAACGTGAAAAGAAGGAAAAGGAACAAAAAGAGAAGGATAAATAGAGTATGAAATCAAGTGTTCTCTAGATAATAAAGGACCTGCTTCAGTAAAAGGTAATCTGGATTTCTGTCTGGTAGAAGCCATGGAGGACCCAGAATTACTTTTGATGAACCAGGTCCTTAATCATCATTTAGATAATTAGTTTACTGCTCCTTACATTGACCAATAATTGCTTTAATTCTTGAACACACTATTTCTTTCATCTTCTATTTTTTATTATGGAATAAAATTTAAGAAGAATAGCGATGGGTGTCTTTATTTCCTTAGTAATGCCTGGATATGCACAATCTTGAGGAATTTATTCGCTTTAAACCATTAAAACAAGGTGTATGCTAGTTGGTAAAGAACAAATATGGTGTTAGAATTGTTAGAATTTTGTGTGTATGTGTGGGTTTTCCTTTTAAGGTAGTGAAAAGAGCTCCATAGTTTCAGAAGTCATTTCACAAATACAGAATTAAAGTGTGCTGGCATGCCAAGTTTTAGTTTTGGCCTATTTTGTTCTATAACAGGCTCTGTCAAACTGATGGTCTTGCAAGCAGTAGTGTTTTAAAAATGCCCTGTAGCAAATGTGTTCAGTTTATCATAGCCTTCACCAGTGCATGTGTTTTCTAAGAAATTAATCATACAACACGAGCTGTATTCACACACAAACTAGAAAGACATTTTACAAAGGCCATGTGAAAATGTTAATCTATCTTGTCAGAATAAAAATAGGTAAATAAAAGAGTGCATGATTTTAGGCCATGTTGACTATTTCACATTTTATCCTGAAAGAAAGTTGAGATGTTTTATGTTTACCTTAGTGTTGCTGATACTTCCCCAGAGAATTTGGTTCCTTTTTCTGGCACAGCAGCCTTAAAAAATACCAGTTAACAACCTGAGAAATCATAATGTTTGTGCATGAATTAGAAATTATTATAATTTTTGTCCAGCTTGCCCCTGTACTGAATGCAAGGAAGTGTACTTGCCAGATAAGCAAAAATCTCTTTTGAAAAAAAAAATAGAGGAAATGAAAACAAGTTATTGAAAATTCCTGTGCACCCTTTCAGATCTCAAAAGCAAAGTGAAAAGCTCAAGTGACCTGCTTAAATGTGAGGCCTTACTTGCTGAATTTCCAGGTGTGACACTGGTGACCCAGCCCCTTTGTGCCCCCCCTGGATTGTATCGATCCTGTAGCTTGGTTGGTTGGTTGGTTTGGTTTGGTGGCAGTTTCACCCCAAAGGTTGTGTGGTGTATACAGGAGTGAATATGACCATTTAAAGAAGCTGAGTGAATCCATGCAGTGTTTTGTTGTTAATCCATCCCAGACATTTTTGACTAAAATGTACTTTGTCAACATGGCCAGAAATGACCCTTCATCTCCACTGAACCCATTTTTGAGCTCGCTGCTGTGAGAGTCACTGTTGAGAGCAGAGGGAAGGAATCTGCCTTGAGGTGTCTGTGCTGCCCCTGGTGCAGAGGCCCTGCACTCTGGCAGCCTCTGCAGGGACAGCAGGGCTGGCTGGGGGCTCTCTCCAGGCTGCAGGACCTGCTTGGTCATTCTCTACAGCTCAGTGCAGGCCAATTGCTTTAGTCCTTTGTACTGAACTTAGACAGCACGTGGTTAATATTCAGATTTTACAGCCAGTAAAAGTTGGACTGACTCTTATTTACACCCTGTGCAACAGCAGGTCTTCCAAACTAACACAGGAATGGTGTTTCATGTAACGAGCCCTGAACAGTTGCAGACAACGTGCAACGGGTAAGATTCAATCTCCATCATAAAGGGTTGTATAAATACCTCGAGCTCCATTTTTATGTAGAATTCCAGTGCTCAGTCTTTCTATTTTTTGATACCATGAATGCAATATGTCAGCATCTTTTGCAGATTTCTGGATCACTGATGATGGTTATACAAGTGCTTGGAATGTGCTCTAAAACAGCAACGCCAAAATGGAGTTCTTGCCTCACTTCTCAAAGATGGCTTGCAACAAAATGTGATGGGCTCCAGCAATGCTTTCTGTCTTTTGGGAAACCAGGAGAGCACCTGAGCTTGTGTTCCTCGATGTATATAGACCATACAAGGCAGTTTGTTCAGTGCAGTAGTGTAAGTATTATTAGATAGCTTAGGATATAGACTTATTGAAATATTTTTTCGTAAATGCATCTTTTTCTAACAAAATGGGGATAATCTTTGTTTAAAGAACTACCAATAGCATTTCTTTGCCAAACACTGCATAATTTGCTGGTAAAGGAGAACTTATTAGATACTGTAATAACAAAAAAGTTGGAATGACTTAAATAATTTTCTGATCTGTACTCTTATTATGTCTTGAAGCATTAAGCTGTGTAGTTACACTACATTTTAAAAGATCTATTTATTTAAAGGTTTTGTTTACCCAAAGTAGTGTCAAGTACTTTATGAGTATAATCTTTGAACAGTAATTACCAATTTAATTTAAAACAAATCATCTCTCCTGAGTGCCATTAATAGCTGATTGTGAGCTGAGCCTCAGTACTGCCTTGGAACAGGCAAGTAACTCCAGCTGGCACTCCTGCCCAAGTTGTACAGCAAAGTTCTCCTGAAATAAATTTAATTTCTGATTTTTTTCTGCATTTGAGCCTAGGGCAATAAGCAGATGCTGGGGATCTTTCATGACTAGAATCTTCCTGAGCCATCCTTGCAAGTTCCTTACCTGTTCTTCCTAGAGATAAGAGCAGTGTTTGACTGCATTGGCCTGTTGTGTTGATTCTGGCTTTGTGTGTTTAAACAAAAAAACCTAAAAAAAAAATCACCACCATCTGTGCCTTTTCTGGGAGTGGTTTGGGGATAAGTCGTAAGAACAGAAAATGATTCTGGCGATACATTTGAGGTATCTTTGCTAATCAAAAGATCTTCCTGTTCTTTGTATGTTTTTTTGGTGTACGTAGTGTTTACGTAGAGTTTACAGTGTATTACATAAATATTTCAAATATTTAGCTATTGCTGTGGCTTAAATGTTATCTTTACACCAGAACTTTGTGTGGTGCTGTGGAAGGTGACAGATTTTTCAAATTAGGTAGAAGTATTTACTTGAAACTGTTTGCATAATATGATGTTTGTAAACTTAAAAACTGGGTAGCTTATATCTCACTTGACTGCATGATAGAACTTGATAGGGCAAATATGCAAATATTCACAAATAGATTGTCCTAAGAAATTGTAACGTGCTTCGTTATTCTAAGTAGCTTAAGAGGTAATGAAACTACCGCTTCTCCAGTGATATCTGTGCTGTCCTTGCATCTGTCAGTGTAAAAAGAGAGTTAGCTTGTTTTCTAGGTGACTGTATTCTGTTCAAATAAAGTCAAACTTACTTCTAAGACTGCTTCTTATATGACCTCCTTTAGGTATGCTTCCCTCTTCATCCAGATATTTTACTTGTTGGTTACGAAAGCACCCGAATTGAGATGAAGAACTTCTGATGTTAAATTTGACAGCTGCTTCTGGTTTGTTATGGATTTCCTTCTGTCCATAACCTTAAAATTAGGGACAATTCTTCTCCACTGCAAGGAATGAATACATTAATGACTGCAAGGTGTTCAGGTGAATGGTTTTAGAGGCCACAGAACTGTGTGTGATAACAGATAACAGAGCTGGGTGTATACAAGACATTAAGTCCAAGAAGTTGATGCACTTGGGTACTTCATACATGAGAGAAACTGTGTAGCCTCAGACTAGATGAGATTCCAGGACTTAAATGTCTTTCATTTTCTTTAAAGAATATTTTCCATTACAGTTCTTCTGTAGTAGAAGCTGTCCTCATTTTCAAGTTTTAATTGCGGTTATTTCTGTTGCAACATGAAAAACCACTGAAGTAACTTGATCTAAGGGTATCTTTCACTGGCTTTAATCTGGAGAAAATTCAGCTTCACAAAGTTTTTAGAATATTTCTGATTTTAAATAGAGAACTGAGCAGCTGGCTATTTTTATCTGTGTTTAATTTGGCGTTTGGCTTTCCAGTTAAACTACTCTTCAGTGCACAGTAAAAGCTGCCATCAGCCAATTTATTGCAGATTCTGAGAGCACACTTTAGTGGGGACCTTCAGATGTCACCTCCTGCAGACAAGGGCCCTTTGAAAGACACCATTACTCATGTAACTGTTTGGGCTTTCACTTAATGACAAATACTAAACTTAACATGCCGGTGTTAACATTTTACTCCAAGCTCAAAGCAGCAGGAAGAAACAGCTGCTTATTTATAACTACTGTTTTCTAAAACAGTAATAATACAGCATAATTAACATGTGCCAGATGACGCTACATGAAATATTTAGCAAAAGGTTGGGCATGTAACCCGGACAGTTCAATCCTTTTATATCTCACAGCATCTGTTTTGCCTGGTTAGGACCCAGCTGCACACAAATCCACAGTTATGTAATAAAACCAGTTTGCTGTGTCCTGCACGTTCAAGTGGCAGCTATTTCAACACTGTTAACGAGACATGAAGGCTCTAAAATGCAGTTACTGCAACACACAGACACACTCTGCTAACAGAAACACAGATTTTACACGATAACCTTATGGTAGGAGCACCAGGTGCAGTGCAGTGGTGAATTGAACCAGTTGTCCTCAAAAACTACAGAGCTGCAATTTCGGTACAAATATTGCCAATTTTTGGAGCACTGAGAAAACACCAGAACTCTGGTGTGTCACAAAAGAAATAAAACAGCCTTCTTTTGTGCCTTGTTTTGGGCGAAAATGTATTTTTTTATTTACTCTAAAATCTTGGGTCGACCACTGCAATGCACGCTGAGCATTTCAAAATAGGGGTCGTGCTGCATCCTTTCACACATACATCTTTGGATTGTGCAGGACGTGCAGCACACAAATGGATTCTCACTGTATAAAATGACAATATTTACTGCAGAGTATTCAAATCAATAGGAGTGTGCTGGGAGAAACTACTGGGTAAGCAGCCTTTTTCTGGGTGCTTGCACAGGCTGCATTGTGTCTTGCACAGACATGCACAACCCAAATATGGCTGCAGGGTAAGATCATACAGAAAAAACCCACAAGTTTAAAAACTGAGGGATTAAAATGCTCCAGTACTCTTGTTTCAGTCATTGGGAAGATTCACAGTTTATACAGAGAGATGCATTATTTTCCTGGAAAAGAATTTTGACAACTGACAACACACTTAAATGAAATTGCTACTTTGGGTAATGCCCATTTTAGGAAGGTATGAAGTTGCTAAAATTATTTGAATTAAATAAGGACCTTATTAAATAAGGACCATTTCCCTGAGGAATATGGTATCTAGCACTTTCCATGTTGCAGCTGATTAACACTTAAGCCACTTAGCCCTTATTTCCAAATCTTTTCTCTCTGTAAAATATTAATATCTCAGATGTAAAAAATGCATTGGTGGCAGTTGCTTCTATTTTCTGTGGCAATGTGTACACCGTGCATTTCCATTAGGACAATTTAGGAAAAATCATTAACTGAGTTTCACAGGTCGTGCACTGAAAGTTGTCTTTTGTAGCAGATTTTATTGATCTGATGCAGAAAAAAAGGTGGGTGTTTTGTACAGAGTATTTATTATATATGTTATATATATGTTATATATAATATCATATATATCACATATATATAAAACATATATATATGTTATATATGTTATATATATGTGTGTTATATATGTGTGTGTTATATATATTATACACGTTATATGTTATTATACATATTATGTGTATATATATTATATATATCGAGATGGAAATATCCTGGGTCTTTGTAGCTTGCATCAGTTTTCCTATTTTTGGTTAAAAGTTCCAAAATATTCTGATTTAGAAACTTCTAAAAATCCTATTCTTCTAGAAACAAAACACCACAAAACCCTACTGTTTCATACGGAACGGAAATTAAAAGTTAGTTTAATTTTCTTTTTCGCTAGAAGTCACTGAAACTTACACCCCCCCACGGGCACGGTGTGGAAGCAGCAGATGGTCACCGGGGTGGGTTTGCCGGAGTTATTTTACGGGCGCGGCGGGGACGAGCCTGAGGGAGCGGCGGCACCGGCTCCCGGAGCGGCTCGGGCAGCACGGGGGGCGGCGGCGGGCGGAGTGCGGGTGTGTGGGGGTGTGTGCGGGTTCAGGTGTGTGCGGGTGCAGGTGTGTGCGGGTTCAGGTGTGTGGGGGTGCAGGTGTGTGCGGGTTCAGGTGTGTGGGGGTGCAGGTGTGTGCGGGTTCAGGTGTGTGCGGGTTCAGGTGTGTGGGGGTGCAGGTGTGTGGGGCTGCAGGTGCGGGATCCTCGAGT